AGACGCCAATGGCCGAGCTGAGCTAGTGTTCAGCTCAGGAATGTGCTTCATCTGCTTAAAGAAAGGCCACATGAGCAGAAATTGTGTCTTTTCTAAGAAGTGTGGAATAGACGGGTGCAGGATGAAACACCACAAGATGCTGCACGGCAGTCACCGTGTAAGGCCTCACGGTGGTGACCAGAGAGTCATAGCCGCAGTAACGGGAAACCGACCAGCAGAGGGAATGACGCTTCTCCAGATAGTTCCCGTTCGAGTGCACGGCCAAGATGGAAGATTTAGAGACACGCTGGCCCTGCTAGATCCAGGATCTCAGACCAGCTTATGCTCGGAAGCAATCATCAGAGATGTGAAGATTTCAGGCGAAGCGCAGTCGCTATGCATCGAAAATGTTGAAGGACGAGGAAGTACCAAGAGGTCTGAAAGGGTCCAGCTGACTCTGAGTCCTTTGTGCGAAGGTCAAGATGTTGACCGCAAGATCCTTGTTCCTGAAGCGTTCTCTGTGCCGCGAGTAAACGTCCGAGCACAGCACATTCCTAAACGATTGAAAGATGACTGGAAGCATCTACAAGGCATAAACATACCTGACTGCTCACAGGGAACAGTGGAGGTGCTTCTAGGCGCTAATGTCCTTGAAGCCGTTCTTCAACGCGAAGCCAAAGTTGGACGAGCAGGAGAACCGGTGGCGGTGCGCACGGCATTTGGCTGGACGTTGACCGGCACGATCGCTGGTTTCGTCCCACCTCAAACCAGAGAGGTGATGTTCATCCACCGTGCGGACACAGAAGACAGGCATCTCGGAGAGTGTGTCGAAGAGTGGTGGAAGACTGATTCATTTGGCACGAAAGTTGAGCTCAAAGGGGAAGCTTCAGCAGAAGACCTGCGGGCATTGCGTCTCCTAGATACATCAGTGAAGAAATGCGGAGACCGATACGAAGCAGGACTTCTTTGGAAAGGCAAAGATCAGAGAATGCCTCACAACAGAGCATCAGCCATGAGAAGACTTCAGAGCCTTGAGAAAGGCTTGTTACGTAACCCGGAAAAGGCTAAGGCGTATGAAGCCGAGCTCCAAGCTTATGTTGAAGCGGGGCACGCACGCAAGCTGTCTCAAGAAGAAGCCGATCAGCGTTTGAAAAGGCGCTGGCTTCTACCACATCACGCGGTAGTAAACCCCAATAAACCCAAGCTGAGGGTAGTCTTTGATGCTGCAGCGACACACCTGGGAGTGTCCCTGAACAGTGAGCTGATGAAGGGACCGGACATGCTGCAGAATCTGGTTGGAATTTTGCTCCGCTTCAGAGAGGAACAGACTGCCATGGTAGCAGACATCAAGAAGATGTTCCACCAGATCAGGATTCGCCAGGAAGACCAGCCAGCATTAAGTTTCTGGTGGCGAAACCTTGACACCACACGACAGCCTGATATGTACCAAATGCAAGTAGCAATATTTGGCGCGAAGTGCAGCCCAGCGATCGCAAATTTTGTACTACAGAGAGCGGCAGAAGACGGCTGCACTGGCACAGAAGAGTCCACAGCAGCCAAGAAAGCGGTTCAGACCAGCTTTTACATGGATGACTTCGTCAAGTCAGAATGTTCCAGTGAAGCTGCACTCAATATGAAAAGAGAAGTCTCCAGCATCCTCGCCAAAGGAGGGTTTTGCCTCACGAAGTGGATGAGCAATGAGGAGAGGGTGCTGGCTGAAGTCCCGGTTGATGAAAGAGCTGTCTTGAAGATAGACTCGTCGGGCAAGTCGTACTGCAGCGTTTTAGGATGCAAATGGACCCCGCAGGACGACTACCTGGCCGTCAAGTGTAGCGTAGTCGCGGTGCCGCCGACGAAGAGAGGAATCCTGAAGCAAGTCGCGTCTATGTTTGATCCTTTAGGGATCGTGGCGCCCTACACACTAGTGGCGAAGAAACTGATCCAGAGTCTCTGGGAAAGAAAGCTAGGCTGGGATGAAGGAATCACAGGAGAAACCCTACATATCTGGAGACGCTGGCAAGAAGAGCTTCAGCATGTTGAGGACGCATGTGTTCCACGGTGGTATGGCGCGCCGGAACAAGAAGTTGACGCTCAGTACGAGCTGCACATGTTCAGCGACGCCTCCGAATTAGCGTTCGGTACCGTAGCATACATCAGAGTATTGTCCAGCGGCTACTATCACAGTCGCTTTGTGATGGCTCGCACTAGGCTCGCACCTCTGCGACAGCTGTCGATAGTCCGACTTGAGCTGCAAGGTGCCGTCATGTCAACAAGAGTAGCCAGTCTTATCAAAAGGGAAATGAACTACAACTTCAAGCGAATCGTCTTCTGGACAGACAGTCAAGTGGTGCTGCAGTTTTTGAAGAACGAAAGTCGGCGATACCACACATTTGTGGCGAATCGTGTATCTGAGATTCACGACACGACAAGCCCAGATCAGTGGCGCTTCGTGCCAGGCTCAGAAAATCCGGCAGATCTCTGCTCAAGAGGAAAGTCTCTGTCAGAGTTGAAAAACCAGCAAGAGTGGTGGCTAGACCCAGCGTTTCTAGAAAGCAAAGAAGAGCACTGGCCACCACAAGAAGACGTAGGAGACATCAGTCCAGACTGTGTAGAAGTCAAGAGGTCAGCAGCCATCTGTGCGACAAGTCATGCTAGTTCACCAAAAGAAGAGATCACTTCTCTACTGTCCCAGCTCATAGACCCGGCGCGGCTCTCTTCATGGACTCGTTACAGACGCATTGTCGCATGGATAAGGCGATTCATCAGCAACGTGAAGAGCAAGGTTGCTGGCACAGAAGTCATTGATGGTCCACTACGCAGCGCAGAAATTGATGCGGCTGAAATCAGCATAATAAAGGACGATCAAGAAACCTGCATGAAACAAGCTAGTCTCGACCACCTGTCTCCATTCCGAGATCAACACGGCCTCATGAGAGTTGGTGGGCGCCTGAGCAAGACTTCGTTAGACGAGTACACGAAACACCCCGTCATTCTTGACGCCAAGAGTGAGATCACCAGACTGGTCATTGTCGATGCACATCAGCGAGTCATGCATTGGGGATTGGAAAGAACACTTTGTGAGCTGAGATCGAAGTACTGGGTGCAACGGATGCGGTCAGCTGTGAAGAAGCACCTGTGGAAGTGTGCATTCTGCCGTAACCGCCGCGCCTCGCCTCAGCCACCCAGGATGGCAGACTTGCCAGAGGCCCGTCTAGACATGAGACGTCCGTTCAGCACAGTCGGACTCGACTTTTTCGGACCTCTGACGGTGAAGAAGTTTCGAAAGACAGAAAAGAGATATGTGCTGCTGATCACATGTCTCGCCACTCGGGCCATCCTTTTGGAGCTAGCTGCTTTGATGGACACCAGTAGCTTCATCATGGCACTGCGCCGCTTTATCGCACGAAGAGGTAGACCTCGAACTATCTACTCGGACAATGGCACTAATCTAGTCGGAGGCGAAAGAGAACTGCGAGAAGCCATCGAACATTGGAATCAGGCACAGATATCCGATGCTTTGAGTCAGAGAAACATCCAGTGGGTGTTCATCCCGCCAGCCGCCCCGCATATGGGCGGTGCATGGGAGCGTCTGATCGCCTCGGTGAAGCGCTCCCTCAAAGTGGTTCTAGGAAACAAATGCGTCTCGGAGGACGTTCTTCAGACGACCCTAGCGGAGGTCGAATTCATGATCAACGGCCGTCCTCTGACCTACATTAGCAGTGATCCTCAAGACCCCGAACCTCTTACGCCCAACCACTTCTTGTTGGGCTCATCTGATGGAAGAGAAGGACTACCGCCAGGGGTATTCAATGATGCTGATGCTGATGTTGTTGGACGGAGGAGATGGCAACAAGTACAGATCCTCGCTGAACATCTGTGGAAAAGGTGGCTCAAGGAGTACCTTCCTACGCTGACAAACAGACAGAAATGGAAGACAGAGAAGAAGAATCTGCAGATAGACGACGTAGTTTTGGTCGTCAACAGTCAGAGTCCTAGAGGATACTGGGAATTGGGACGCATCACAAGAGTCTACCCAGGCTCTGACGGAGGAGTCAGATCAGCGGAAGTGAAGACAAAGAGTGGGACGTATGTTCGCCCGACAACGAAGTTGTGTCTCTTGGAGAGTCTCAACTAAGCCTCTAAATCGGAATCATCGGAGAATCCGTGCGACGGGGTGCACGGCCAACTGGCCCAATATGTGATGCTCATGTGAGACGAACCGTGAAAGTAATGTTGATCTTGATGGATGGGGTACGTTCTGTGTTCGAAGACATTGATAATGATCCGCGTGGCTAGCACCCACATTTGTGACCTGCGTAAGGTCAACGCGAGCCGTGACAGAATCGGCATGGGCCGTTAGTGCTCAGAGCTGACACGGTGTGGTCGTTAAGTGCAGAGTGAAAGACACCGAGGGGTGTCAGGAACGTGTGGCCTGTATCGCGAGTGACATGTTTCGTGTTCCCCCTTGTGAACACTGGTGGGGGAGGATGTCGCGACCGGGGGGTACTGTGCGTTTGTTGCCTAGCAACGAAATTGTTGTCATATTTTTGTGCTTAGAAAATTAAGGAAAAGGGGTTTTTTTGGATGAGAAACTGATTGAAACGGGGTCATTATTATAGCTCATTCTGAAACAGTGAAAGTAAATATGCAAAGCCAAGGACGATGCATTCACTGATTAACAAGTGTCAAAGTGACATTCAAGAAAGGTTTATCTTTATGTTTCAACTTATTTCTTAGTTTATTTTCTCTCGTTAGCCGCAATGTGCGACTTTTGGAACGGTGTTTTTCATTTCGATCAAGGAGCGAAGTGGATCAAGCCTGTACCAAAATAAACATTGATTTCGAAAGTGCATTTGCGGCATTAAGTTTCATATTTTTTAACGGCTAACGGTGACAGGTGCCATGAGCTTTCGGCCTACGCGGTTCACCTCGAGACCTCTGTGATCTTTGAACCGTCTCCCGACATTGTAGTAAGATCATTGAATTGCACTTCTTTTTTAACGGATCGCACTTATTTCTAGCTGATTCTGAACGACTACCTGAACCGCTCACTGGTCGAGGTTGGCCTCGAGACGGGCGCTCAGTCGCGTAACAACCTCTTCATCACGGAAGCCAAGCCGCGCCGAAAGCAGCGCTCGGGCGCGGGTCTGGAGAGTGGCGATCACGCTGGCCGCACCTCGCCCGTGGCAGCCTCCTCGGGCGGAGCGGAGGGCGGCTCAGACTCGGCGCCGGCCTACACCTACGCCAGCGGACTGATCAAGAGCAACGAGACAGGTGGGCGCGCGCTCTGACAGGCGGACAAGAGGGGAGGGGAGGAACGTAGAGGTAGACAGATTTGAGGAGGAGGGGGAGGCCGAGAGGAGATGGTGTATTATGAGATAGGACTTTTGGGTGGTGGAAACTGGAAACATAATGCAGCTGTTTGACTGTACGAGTACATTATTAAAATTGTTTTAGGGACGTGAAGCGAAATTAACTGTCATTTTCAAATAATCGCAAGCACACCTCACTCTCCGATTTTAGATATTGATTTGGTGATGGATTTTGTACGTCTTTGTAGATTATGATCAGCGAGATCACTTTGTTTCTGAACTTTGAGTACCGCGACCGTTGCATTTTCAGTTTCGTTTGTTTACTTGTTCTCTCGATACGTGTCTTGATGATAGCATCACCTTCGCTTCTTTCCCGAGTTGTTTATTTGATCTGTCGTCTGGACCGGCACATTTCCGTGTCCTTCGCGCCCCTCCCCCTGCCCGATCACATCACGTGACCTATTGTCCGACCCATCCGCCAGGTCACGTGGGTTTGGTGAACCAGGCCATGACGTGCTACCTGAACTCGCTGCTGCAAACGCTGTTCATGACACCCGAGTTCAGGAACGCCATGTACAGCTGGGAGTACGAGGGCACACGGGAGGACTCGGCCAAGTCGATTCCCTATCAGCTGCAGAAGCTGTTCGTCAACATGCAGGTAAATGTTTGCTGCAGGACATATAGTAAGGATGCCACGATTGGACGGCTGAGCGCCAATTGAAATACAGAAAGGATTTAGTAAGGTGAGGAACAAGTGGGATTATTTTGTCGTTGCGCTCTTGACTCTCGAAAATACAAATTTACTCCGGAATAAAGAATGCTGAATGGGTTGGCTAGAAAGCAGGGTACCACTCGCTCACATGAATCTCGCTGCGAATTATGCGGTACCTCCATCAGTCCAGCGTGTCACTCTGACCCTCCCCCTCCCCTCCCCGCTTCTCAGACCACGGAGCGTCTGGCGGTGGAGACCACCGAGTATATCTCACCCCTCTCACTTACCTCCCTCCCTCTCCCCGCTCTCCCTCTGGCAGACCACGGAGCGTCTGGCGGTGGAGACCACCGAGCTGACCTACTCCTTCGGCTGGGACAGCAGCGAGGCCTGGCAGCAGCACGACATTCAGGAGCTCTGCAGGGTCATGTTCGACGCACTCGAGGTCACCTTCAAGGACACCGAGCAGCACGACCTCATCTCGCGACTGTACGAAGGTCAGTGACCTGAGTGCATCAACGGTGGCGCCTCGATCATGGATGGGTTTGGAAAGTGGCGGAGCCAGTGTAGGCAGAAAAATGTCTGACTGTGTATAGAAGTCGCAGCAGATGATCAAAGCCGAAGAGCTGTGGATAAAGTGAAAATCTAATTGGTCTGCTTTTCCGACCAAGGCGTTCCGCGAAAAACCTTGCACTCGTCGCGCCCAGAAGCCTTGCAGTTCCGATGATAGCATTCCTTCAAACTGACAAGTTCTAGGTTTCCGAACACCATCTGCTGCTGCAGTTGCCCTCTGCATTGTCCCACGCATGTTCAACTAACCCTCCGTCTCTGCCGACTGACAGGCAAGATGATCGACTACGTCAAGTGTCTGGAGTGTGGCACGGAAAAGGACCGGGAGGACACCTACCTGGACATTCCGCTGCCGATCCGGCTGTTCGGCGCCACCACGGCCTTCGGTAGTGTGGTAAGCATGAAAACATGCTTCGGTCTTACCACTATAATCGGTAGTTTTGCGGTGAGAACGATAATGTTCGGCACCACTGCCGTCATTCTGTAGCTTGATGAGTACGGCATTGTTCGGCGTTACCACCACCAGTTTGGTTTTGTGGTTAGTACAGCATTGCTGTGCCTTCACCGGCCACCGTTACACCATCGAAATGTTCAACAGTCGGTAGACTAGACTGTCGTCGGCTGGCTGGCCGGGAGACACGGTCTAAACTGACGCGTTTTCCGGGGTGGCGCTGGCCAAAAGGGTCAGCTGTGGGGTCAGCGGACGGCGATGTCAGATGCTCAGACGTCTGACATTGGCGGTCGGTTCAGTGACAGTGAGACGCTGGCAGCTCCGTTTGTTAGATAAAACCTTTCAGCTTAATTATTGTTATTTTGCGGCTTGCGGAGATGAAGCACTTCTCACCATTTCAACCAAAGTGTAGTATTCCCGTCACAAATTTTTCTGCGTATTTTTTTGCGAGGCATTAACGAAGCTCTTTCGCAGGAGGAGGCACTACGCGGATTTGTGAAACCCGAAACTCTCGATGGAAACAACCAGTACCACTGCGACAATTGTGGACGCAAGTGCGACGCTCACAAGGGACTCAAGTTCAAGACGTTTCCGTATCTGCTGACGCTGCATCTCAAACGGTTCGACTTTGACTACCAGACGTTGCACCGCATCAAATTGAACGACAGGTAAGCCGTCTTCTCGTAGGACGTCTTGAGCGCTCTGTGCTAATGTGTAAGTCAATGTTTGCTCACACTGATTGGAATACCAATTCATCCAAGCTGTTGAGCGGTTGCACAACCGGATATGCTTGCTGTGGCTGAGCTGTCAGTCACTGTCAGTGGCCAGTGCTGTCGTGCTGATGCATCTATTCCCGTTCCGTGGTCCGTCGCCCTCAGCTGACAGTGAGCCGACTATTCCCTGCGTCTGCCCGTCTGTCCGTCCGCCCGGCCTTAGCTCGCTGGTGCGTGTTTGGATTGGCGGCGTTTCTATGCCGTGGCCGTGTTTTACCCGATCACTCGTCGCCCGTGTGGCAATCCGAGATCGGACTCTCCGGCTGGCCCAGTTACGGCTCGCTCACTTCCTTCTTATCTCTCCTACCCTCCCTCCTACTCTTCGTCTCCTCTTCCGCCGTCCATTAGCCATTTTCATCCCACCTGCCGCCCCGCTGCTTTTAATTTATCCTTCGACCGGGCCCCCCCCCCCGTCTCTAACTTCTTAACCAGTCTACCCTACCTGTTTGTGCCAGCATTGTCTCGTCCTTTTCTGATATTCACTCGTTCCCACTTTAGGAGGATGGCTTCTAACCCCTCGCCGTTTCCCCCAGGGTATCGTTCCCGGAGATTCTGAACCTGAACGACTTTGTGTCGGACGTCGCCGGCTGCGCGCACCCAGCCACCGACGGCGGTGACGGCGCTAGGAGCGACGATACGTCGACCACCGACAGTGGTACTGTGCTGGACGACGAGGCTGCCCACCCGGCCGCCGCCTCCGCCGCTGCGACGCATAATATGACAGACGGCGACCCCGGACAGGTCAGAAGTGAACAGCTTAGATTTGGAGGGTGGGGATAGGGTGGGGGGTGGGGGTTAACTGTTCATATGCACGAGTAAGTTAAATTTATAACAGTGATACCGTGGAATTCTCTTAAATACAATCGTTATTATCGTGATTGTAACTATTATTTCCCCGTAATTGATGTTTGCATAATCATCCAGCTCATCGTTGAGCTAAATTTTTGATAAGATTTTAGGCTTACAATGTGCACAGTCACACCAGATGAGTTCGGTGAAACGAGATCCATCATGATCAGGTACCCAGCTGATTCAACTCATCCCATATTCTCCTTTGCTTGCCTCTTGCTGACTACCGGTCGTGCAGCGTACTGACACCTTCCCGTACCTTCCTTTTACCTCTCAGGAGGACGAGGGGATCGACTGCTCCACAGACAGCGAGACCCGCGCCAACAACTGGCGTAACGCCGTGCGGGGTCCGTACGAGTACGAGCTCTTCTCCATAATGATCCACGCCGGCAGCGCCTCAGGAGGCCACTACTACGCCTACATCAAGGACTTTGCCAAACAGGAGTGGTTCTGCTTTAACGACCAGTCCGTCTCGCCGGTTAGTAAGAGGATGCGACTGGAAAGAGTGGGGGTGGAGCGAGTGAAATTTGTCTAACGTAAAATGACAATGTAACTTTTTTAAGTTCGTCGGACCTTATTCACTCTGGCCCGGCTGTCACATTATGCCAGTATGCGGTTTGTGCTCGGTGCTCGCTATGTACTCTTGGTCACCGCTAGGCTATGTGTCTGACCTGCGATCTTTGCAGGATTATATTCGCTGCTGATTTTTTTCTGACTTACTTGGCTCACCTGTGCTGTGACTGGACGGCCCAGAATATCCGCCTAAGACCCCTATAATCTGCCTTCTCGTCTGACCTCTGCTCTTGACCTTTTGCCAGGTGACGCAGGACGACATCCGTCGGACGTACGGCGGCGGCACTCGGACCAGCAGCTACTCCTCCAGCACCAACGCCTACATGTTGATGTACCGGCGCATCGACAGGGAGCGCAACAAGCTGCCCCTCACCAAGGACCACTTCCCCGAGGGCATTCAGGTGGGCGACGCGGGGAACCGCGGAAGCAGGAAGATTGGAAAAGGCGAAGGCACGTCCTATCGGGGAACGAGAGAGCTGTTTTACTAAGGAGACCTTTGACAGCTCACGTGCTGTCATTGTGTTTTGACATCCTCTTGCTAGCGCTGTATATAAGATAGAATAAATGTAATGACGGTGTAGGTAAACATTCGTCGCTTGAATGCATGAATCATGAACGGAACGTTAAGTGTTTCTGTAATGATATTCAGTGCCAGTGGTTGATCCCTACTGTGCAAGTTGTAAATGGTCCCGGGATTCGTGTCCGACAGAAACTGCTGGTGCGCATGCGCGAGGGCGAGGACGAGGAGCGCGCCAACAAAGAGCGCGAGCGCAGCATGTGCAAGCTGACGCTGTTCGGCGTGCACCCGGTGCTGAAGACCACCGTCAGCAACGCCTTCCACGTGCACAAGGACATGTCGCTCGAGGAAGCCACCGAACTGGGATGGAAGGTACGGTGATCGCCGTCGACTCTTGGCAAAGCCTTTCCTTGGACTGTTTAAGCCTTAGCCATACGGGCAGTCAATGTGTGATTTGAATTAGCTTGGTGTCTTGGCATTGCTAGCACTACGTTTTAGTCAGTGCTACGTATTCCTTTATTTGTCCAATGATCCAGTCTAACTACAAGAGCCTCCTTGACTTCAATCTCCTGCCATCTCAGCCCCTTGCCGAGGTTTAACATCTCTCCCTCTCACCTTCCCAGATGCTGGAGTTTGACAAGCACGTGCCGCTCTCCCGCTGTCGTTTGGTGCGTTACGACGAGCTGAACGACGCCATTGAGGAGAGCCTGGAGCAGCACGCCGGCCACACGATGGAGGAGGTGCTGGGCGGCGTGCGTTCCACCTACAAACTGGACTTGATGCTCGAGTGGAGAGCCGAGGACGCCCAGTTCGAGGTGTACTCGGCCGGCGATACTACACTGCAGGTGAGAATGTGTGGGTTGGGGCTGGGAGGGGAAGCCGGGAGGGGATGATACGAAGGAGGGCAGCCTGTGCAGTCTCCGTGATGGTAGCGGAAAATAGTTCTTGAAACAGTCGAGTTTAGATGGACCAGGGTGTCATCTTGCGAAGACGGCAAAAAAAAAAAATCCAGGCAACCGCCTCAGGTACGCAAGCTAACATGACGCTCTACTTGAAAGGATATGTTGGTTTAGAACACGCATGATGTGTCCATGATTAGAAAAGGCTCCTCCCATGTACCCTAACCTAACTGTCCTCCGCCGGGCAGGTGCTGCGCGTGTCGGTGTCCGACGGCCGGGTGTCGGGCCCCACGCCGCTCCGGGTCTCGCTCTCCCAGTCGGTCACCGAGCTGCGGCAGGCGCTGGGTCTGTCCGACTCGGGCCGTCTCTGTCTGGCGCGGTACTGCGGCGAACTGAGACCGCTGCTGCATCCCGAGAGGTCGCTGAAACTGGAGGGGTTCCACCGAAACAGCAGGGTGAGTCAACCGCGGCAACACCCGGGGTGGTCGCTCAAACTGGAGGGGTTCCACCGAAACAGCAGGGTGAGTCCACCTCAAATCACAATACCTCAGAGCGGTCACTGAACTAGGGTAGGGGATTTCACCGTGAGAGCAGGGTGAGCCCCGCTGTCGCAACGACGGTAGAAAGTCGTGTGACATGAAACGATGGGTCGTGTTTTCTGAATAGTTGTGAAATTCAGCGTGGCTCTTAGTATGCTTTGGCGTCGTGTTTGTACGAATTCATCGCAGCTATCTGACGGCCCATGATTCTGCAGCTGTTTACGTTCATGTGCCTGTCGATGTCTCATCGCGACCACAGCTTTACTGAAAGAATCGTGGCCTCCAGGTATTTGTTGCTGAGGACGACGCGGACGACCTGGATCAGCCGTTCACGTCATCTGGGTTTTTCCGCGTGTGTGACCGGCACGAGCACACCATCAGTCTGCAAGTGATCGTGCCAAACACCGATCAGGGTGAGTGGAAGGCGCCTCATGGCTGCGAGCACCCATGGGTGCCGGTGGTCAGTGCATGTTCATGCAGTTAACGGCTGCGTCGTCTTGTTTGAATGATATGATAAGCATTTAATGTGTCAAGCGGGACCGCGGCCGACCGGTGTCAGATTTAACCGTGGGGTTGTTGAGCTGTTGACAGTATAGGTAAATATAATGCATTGTTGCGCCATGCTGCAACAGACTCCGTTAATTACCATGATAAGCCGATCATGAAGTTCGGTCTTAGTCATATGACGCCATCCGTGTATTTTCATACTGCAACAGTCATCACGTCTCTGCCTCCCCTCCTACTCTCACAGAGACACTGGACCGTCTGGCGATCCCGTCCCTGGACCAGATGTCCATCTCGGCCGCGCTGGCCGCCGCTGCCGCTCCCTCCGGCGGCGCCGCTCCCCCGGAGCAGGCCGACTCCCCTCCGGTCAGCCCAGAGCCGACCGGCGGGGACGAGCTGTTGGGCGGCGGCAGCTCCGACCAGAGCGCCTCAGAGGACAGCAGTGTCACGGACAGCGAGCGGACTCTGATCGGTGGGGAACAGCCGACCGGCGCCGGCGGCGGCGGGTCACTACCGGCCACACCGAGCAACTCTCCGGCCGGATCAGACTACCAGAGCATGCTGTCGCCGCAGGAGGAGGTCGGTGCACGGCGGAGGGAGAGCTGGGGTTTGACTCTTGACGAGCGGGATTGGGAAGGGATTGAACACGGCTTACAGGGGGTCTGTGCTTTCATTGCAGCTTTATATCACTTGTTTTTTCCTGCTGAATATGAAGATCACGCTTTATGTAAATTATATTGGTAATTAAAATATGAACGTTCTTGAAGATTTAGATGTCGGCTCGTATCACACATTAGTTCAAAACTTGCGAGCGTTGCACAGAAAACAAATTTGCCAGCAACGCTTAGGCCTGTAATTCAAAGACCCCTCAGCGTCTCTGTCGTTGCCACTTCCCTCCCCGCCAGCACCCTTCACGCAGCCCCTCCCCGGCAGGGCTACAAGGGCGTGGAGGGCGGCGATGACGACCCCAGTGACGCGCCGTACGCCGCCGCTGCCGACGATGACGCCCCCGCCGCCGCCGCCGCCGCCGCCGTCGGCCAGCCGCCCATCAGACGCTACTTCGTCGTCGAGAAGTCGGCACCGCATGAGAACGGGCTCCGTGAGTGTCCGAGGGTGCCGGGAAACTGTAACGGGGATGGCGGCTGGTGTGGTTAGGGTTACTTAGTGGGGTAGGGTGTTATTGAAGATGTAGATTGATCGGTAGATACTGGGTCGGCACCTACAGAAAACTTTGTGGAATGATTTCAATTAATCATTAAGCAAAAATTGATAAACATGGCGAGGCAAAATCGTATCTTAGCATCCCTTGGTATGTATAGTTTTACGAAGCTGTATCTTCATACGAGCTCCGTTATAGATCGTTCATCGCTTTTGACGTCCATTTTTAACGCCCGCCTTTCTTTCCACGCAGTGTGGGACGTCCGCCTGGACAATCGTATCACGCTGGGCGGCTTCAAGAAGGAGATCGAGACCCTCATCAACGTGCACAGAGACTACTTCAAAATACTCAAAATATACACCAGCAACCAGGTGGGTCACGGCTTCCAACCATTTGCGAACCCCAGGCAAATAATGGTTCGAACACAGCTTTTCAATCCTCGGTGCCGATCACCAGTGAAGCCTATAAGTGACATCCTTGATAAATAAACAGCATCTATTTATACCAACTTTGTTTCGATTGGCACTGCATCCATATTCTCTTTCTTTCGGCGGTTCGGCGATTGTTTTCTCTCAATTGTCACTTTCTGGCGGTTTTGTCCCTGTTTTGTAAGCGCTGTTTGTTGGAAATGCACTGCTCTCTTACCGTCGGAATCGTCCCGTCTGTGTTGCCACTGACACCCCCTTCCCTCGGCAGGAGTTTGAGTGCACGCGTCTGGACGATCAGCTGATGACGCACGGCGACAATGTGACGTTTGTGGCGCGGCTGTCGCGCCGGCTGAGGGACGGGGAAGTCCGCGGAAAGGTCTACAAACTGGAACCCAACGCCACGGAGGTAAACGAACAGTAAAACATGCGAGCCCTATGGCCGCAACGGCTACGGTCAGATGGGTGGGCCTCCTCGCACGCAGTGCAACTTTCCTATCCAAATTGGATGCAAATATGTTGAGGTCTTGACGCAGCCAATCTTGTTTTCTCATTGTTGAAGTAGCTCGTGAGGAAAATGGATAAATGTATTCCAACTCTCCTGTGGCCATCGATAAATGCTCGCAACGGGTATGACCTGCGAACGAGCTTACTACATGCAGTGAGTGTAGATGGAGTCGATGCCTTATATTTACTACAATTGCATACCAAATGCTGTTTCATGTCCCCACAGCCCAGTAAGTTCCTGTTCGAGTGGATTCTGCGGAAGGGAATGACCATCGCGCAGGCCAAACGGGAAATTCTCGCCGAACAAAAGTCACGACTCGGCGTCGATATTCCCATGAACAGGTAAGACATGACGCCGTTATATTATTTCGTCATTTGCACTTTTTGACTGATATCAGTTTCCTGTTTCTATTTTACGTTAAATGCTAAGCATATTTTGTTTGATCGACGACGAATTATCCCTTGACGATGACTTGATACTGAGTATCAGCGACACTTAGGTAGCTGGTGACTCAAGACAATGATTTGTTTTTTACAGGTGTCGGTTAAGGAAGAAGAGTTGGAAGAATCCGGGCAAGATCTACTTGGACACATACAAGTTCAACGATCAAGTGCCCCTCTATCCCAACTGGGAAATCTTCCTCCAGGTAAGGACATCGCTTTGTAATTCGCATGAACTTCTTAAGATATATAATCAAGGATAGGTTTTCGTCTTCCCAGGGCGTTGTTCCATGTAATACTTCTGATTTCTGAGAGGACTCAGTGCCGTAACGGAAATCGAGTGTCGGCGCCTCGTTAGCTCATTATGACCTGTTCCTTTCGTCGACCCCACCAGGAGCTACCCTCGGCCGAGGAGGTGGAGGGTGACGGTCAGCTGTCACTCTTCTGCCGCCGCTTCCACCCGGGCACCTACACGCTGGACGACCTGCACGAGGTGACGCTGCCGACGTCCACGCCGGAGGCGCTGCTGGCCGCGCTCAGTCGCCACTCCGGGGTGCCGGCCGACAACATTCGGCTGGCCAAGCCGCCCGGCAGCTTCCCCAACGACTTCAACGCGCTGCTGGCGCCCACGGAGCTCGACTGGCTGGCTAACGTCACCGGTAAGAAGAGGGAGGATTTCAGGAGGGCGAGAGTGGGAGGAGTTGATCTGGGAATGAGCTGATGGGAGGAGTTGAAATATTCCGTCGAAATGCCCAAATAAAATGTTTTTTTTATTTTATTTTTATTTTTTTTATTTTATTATATTTATATATATATATATATATATATATATATATATATATATATATATATATATATATATATATATATATATATATATATATATATATATATATATATATATATATATATATATATATATATATATATATATATATATATATATATATATATATATATATATATATTATATATTTTTTTGTTTTATATATTTATATATTTTTTTATTTTTTTATTTATTTAAATTATTTTTAATAACGGCATACCGAGGCTTCGATCATAATGTGCAAGGTAATGTCGACTGCTACCTACATTCGGATTCCCGTTTCGTGTTTTATCTGGTTTAACTTACGACTAATGGTTAGTTCATGAATAACCGCCGCGCTGTTAGCTTATAGACCGACAGTGCCGGTGTCATTAACGCTTCTCCTTTATCCCCAGCGCTGGACACATGGCCGCTCAATATCCTCGAGGACGGTCACGTGCTCTACTACAAGGACGACGCTGAGCCACTGGCCGAGCTCAGCGACCAGCAGCGACGGGAGATCAGCACGCGCGAGACGGCCCGTCTCCAGGCGCGCTCTGCTCTCAGTTCCTCCATCAGCTCCACCTCATCGTCGGCGACGGCGCCGCGACGCGAGCGCGGCCTCAAGATCCACGTAGACATCCAGCCGGCGGCCGGGGACTAGGCGGTCCGGCCGTGCCGGGGACGAGCCGGCCGCGGTGGCGCCGTGTCTGCCGACGCCGCCGGTCCCTCTGCCTTAGTGTGGGTACAAACACCGTGCGCGCACGCTGCCGAGGCTGTGAGAGCGCCGCCGCGCCCGGCGCCAGACGACGCACCGGTGTGTGCGCCGGCGTCGGATCAACAAATCAGGATACCGGGCGGCGGTGAGCGGCTGCGGGCGCAGCGGAATCGGACGGTGAAGATAACAGTGTGATTAGTGCTCATAACGCTCGGTGACGCCGCTCCGAACAGTCGGCGATATTTGTGACAGAGACTGCGGGCAATCACCGGCGCCCAGTGCCGCGGCTCCGCGCTGTGAGTCGCAGCTGTGAGACCCGCGCCGCGGCTGTGTTGATAAACCCTAACGGACGGCTGTCCACTGCGGCGGTCCGTTGTCAATGTGGGGCCGCCGGTGCTCGTTCAATGTCTGCAATACCACGTCAGTGGTCTCTGGGTCCGACAGACGTCTCTGCGACCCGAGCTCTCTATATCAAGTTATTTAAATGTTAGGGTAATTATGTGGTCCACGTTGGTTCTGATTCTGCGCGTTCCTTTCGTTGCATTCGGCGCCTGTGCGTTTAGTTTTATACAAGATGCTAACCCGCGGCCCAAAGGCTTGCCGGCAGCATTTTTTATTCGGCGACGTTTGCTCTTGGCCTAACGATTGCATTTCTTGTCTAGGTTGCTCGCTTGATCACAAGCCGAGTGCTCGCCGTTGTAACGCCAAAGAAAGGAAGCGTTAACATGCCCTGCGTTCGACTTCTGTTAATATATCGGTTGACTGATCGATGATAGTTGTTTTCATCCGTATGATTTAAAAACATCCGAAACTCTGGTTAAATATGCCCCCTCTGGATAAAGTGATGTTTTCAGACAATTAAGAGGGCCTCTTTCAGGCATATTCTCCAAGAGCGGTGAATGAGCTCTGAATCTTTAGACGGGCAAGATTAGGGTCATGACGAGGTCATAAGCGCTGTAATGCCACGACGCAACCGTCAAAGATAAATTGAAACGTCCGTCCTCGCCATCCTAGGGACATACCCATGCGCGTCCCCCTCACGCTACCCTTTCGGGGCTGGCGGTCATCCCGTACGACGACCGGCGCGGTGGTTGAAGTCGGGCCCACTCCAGGGCCCATTAAATTCCTCTCCGAGGTGACGGTTTGGGAGGCGGGCGGACTGTGCTAACGGGGCATTCCGGTCAAACTGCACCGGGACGGTCTCGTCTCCGTGGATCACTGCCGGCGTTCCATACAGCCCAATTCCACCCTATCCCATTATTTTATAGCTCTGAGGCCTCTTGCACCAAAATCCTCTTGCACCAATGCTTGGATTATTTTGCATCGTGTACCCAATCCAAGACTCAAGTGTGACAATTTGCGTGTAAAATTTACCATGCACCTGTAGGATTATGTATTGGGCTATTGCAAACAAATTTACCACCGTCAGATTACCTTATTCTGAAACCGGTTTTTCGATTTTACCTAGCTAGGTAGTTTGGTGCAAGAGGCCTCTGCTTGACCTTTTCAGGTCAAAAAGAGCTAAGAGCTTACTGCCGACTGAAAAAAATAACAGAAATATTTGTAGCGCGTTACATCATCACCCGGTAACATTAGATGTTGCCGGAAACATTGGACAGCTAGAGATTTGTGGGAAGTCGAAAAAACTCAGCTTGACGGAGTTGTCGCTCTGATGCGAAGTGCCAGCGGTTACCGACATCACATGGCGGACGATAGACCGCCCCTCCAAGGGAGGCCGGGAGGGGATCTCAACGACACATTTAAAAAAGAACATTTATTGCCTCAAATGTCATTTACACTGATACACGGGAAGTGCAATTATGGCACAACGGTATTCGATGAACAGCGTACTCCCGGCGGTCAATGGCAGGCCGATTCGAAAGTCCTAAAACACTATGAAACTGTTTAATGCACATGTTATGGTTGTAGGCACGGTTGTAAACATGGAATGAAATATTGATCTGGCTGAGTAACAATGAAATAAATGCACGTCTTCTCTGAAATCGATGTTTAAAAACGGTACGCGGAAGGCAAGAATAAAATTGAAGTAAAACCGTGAATAACGTCCCCAAATACAAAACACGACAAAATGGCATGGACAATCTTTCATCGGTACAGACAAGCACAAGCTCAGTCTTGCAAAACCAATGAAAAAAAAACTACGGGAACCCCACATTTACCGCAGTCCAAGCAATCACATACCTTATAAAACCGCACATGCTGAGAAGCGCGCTTCCCGTTCACGAGCACCGGCAGTAGCATGCCGCCAAAAATCACTACAGCGCACGGCTCGACCAGAAAAGGCTAGAAACGGAAGCGGTCGAACGATACACGTGGGGTCTCTCCATTGTGTATACACTAGTGCGGGCCGGACACATCAATGACGTTCTCTAAGTCCTTATCTGGTCTTAAGGCACACGACCCGCGGTTCTTATAGGCCAGCCACGTCCATGCACCTAGTTTTTTGACTCCATCATTTCGTCTCTGAAGCCGTCTCTAATAAGCCTCATGCATGTTCCGTCCACCCATCCGACACCGACTTCTCATCCTTTTCACTGTCTCCAGTGACGTTCGTTGTACTTTATCTCAAATCGTCGTTAATGCTCCGCCTCAACTGTCACTGGGTCACTCTTCGTCAGCATTTTTCTCAGTCTCCTTCACCTCTTCCTCTGTTTCATCTTTTGCATCTTCTTTCTCGCCTCCTTCCTGTTCTTTTCCATCATCTTCCTCTTTCGCCGTTCCTTTGTTTTCTTCAGTCTCCTCACCAGTTGGTTCTACGTTATCAGCAGCCTTCTTCAGCACATTGGTGGGATCAGCCTTCGTTTCCTTCTTTTTCCTTCCCCTCTTGCCACGCACTGCAGGCGCCTTCTTGGTCTCACCTATCTTATCATCGGTGGCCTCTTGCTCTTGGTTCTCTTTATCCGCGGCCTCCTTTCCATTGTTTTCTTCTTCCATCTGCTCAACTGGTGCAGTTCCATTCTCGTTTTCTTCGTCCATCTCCTGTTGCTCGTCCTTACCAGTTTCCTCTTCTATCCCGTTTCCATCTTCCTCCTCACCAGGAGACACTTCACTGTCATCCTTCGCTGCTTTTGGTCCCTTCTTCTTCCGTCCCTGTCCCCTCCTACCGTTCTTCGCCTTACTGACCTTATTTCCCTTCTCCTTTTCTTCCTCCTTGTCCTCCTCTTTATCAGATATCGGCTCATCACAAGAGGCGGAATCTCCGTCAGCTCCGCTCTGAAACAGCAGAGGCAGTAAGCGTGCCAGTCGTCAGCCCCAAATTACCATCATCCTGAAACTACACAGGCCACAGCATCCTCAGACTTCATTCCGAAGACTGTAGTCCTGGAATCACGTGGGCCACGGCAGTTCTCTGGTAATCTACGAAAATGACACACTACCAAAAGGCAGCTTGAATATCGACCTGGTCACACCCTGATCACAAATCGTGCATTCAGTGGGGTAACACGTACCTCCCAAGGAGGCGGCGGCTGGTCCTCGCAGCGCTTCATGGCATACTTGTAGACCATAAAGCCAGACTGTCCGCGGCACAGCCAGAACTTCTCCACCCAGTACAGACCTGGAGGTGAAGCAAAAGGCGTCACTGGATTATCCATCGAAATGCACATAAAACCAGGCACTTTATCTCGTTTGTTAGCTTGTTTGTTTACGTTTCTGGGTCTGCTAATCATTTACATATAATTCATCCTCAATACATTCATTTTTACGATCTCGAGCACAAAGGAGCTCGTAAAAGTGGACGATCAAATAACGATGAGCAACGACACGAGGATTAAATATACGATACGATGATTGCGAACCTGATGTTATTCTATGATCAATAATTTGCCCCTCCCCGGGACTCCCTCAGAATCACCTCCGCTACCCCTCGCCCACTGACCGTCGTATCTATAGCCCTCCTCGGGCGCGTAGGGACTCTGCAGTTTGTAGCCGCGGATCACCCGGACCGGGGTGCGCGTCTCGACGTTCTTGGTGAGCGCCAGGTTACCGCGGGTCAGCTCCTGGTTCTTGGACTGCGGCGCCGTGCGCAGGTTCTGGGGACAGGCGCGCCCGTAGACGGAAGGTTGAAACTTTTACATTTAGCAAAGTTACCACAATAGAAATAATGCTCGCAGTCACCGCACGGCGCATCAACATCGCAGTTCCCTTGAACCATTTCAGCGTCGGAAAGTCACGATGTTAGAATGAACACTTCCATAGTACGGCATCTGGTATCCGCAGGCTTTTCGCCTTTCGGGCGGGGGGGGGGGGATCGGTAGGATATCACGAGAACGGGTTGGGACCGAATGGGTGCTGTCACTTGACTAACCTTCGGCTGCGCAGCCGTTCCCTTGAGATCTCGGCCGCCCTCACCGGTGTAGGTGAAGCATTCGCCCCAGTCCAGATCATCTTCGTATCTGAAACAGAACAACAGTGGACCTCAAGTAATATTATGCTAGATGTGCAAATAGAAAAGAGGCACAAATTCACGGACAGTGTCTTTTGCTTTGGTACCTAATTTATCGACTAAAATAACACCGACTTAATTTAAAGTGGCCAATGCTCCCAGTTTCCAAAGCTTCAACGTTTTTTTTTCTTCTTCTCTTTACCGCGAAACTTCAGAAAGGAAACGGAGTACACATAGTGAGGGAACTCCCCTCCCCCCGCCCCCCAAGCTGCAGGAGCCGCCCCGCTGGTGTAGCTCGGCACGCCTACTGACCCTCCGCTGAGAGCGATGCTGTACGCCCCGCTGGGCCCCGAGTGGATGCCGGCCACCGTGGGACGATGGATGCCGTCCGCGCAGCACTCGAGCCGCGTCTGCCACCATGTCCCCACGGCGACACCTGTAGACAAACAGGGCAGGAAAGAAGGTTAGGTTAGGTTAGGTTAGGTAAGTCACAGTCCCCAGATTCATCTGCCAGGGGTGATGTGCAGGTAGCATACTCGTAACAAGAGTGGACTACGTAAGGAAAAAATGCATAATTAGCATACCAGTTTCCGAATTATCAATTACTTACCAGCAGCGAATGGCAACTAATTGTTACCTACAAGCATATAGGAAGCGTTTTACCTTGAACTTTTTCCGGCTTATAGCTGTTGCTAAAGAAGATCGGGAAGCGATAAATGTCGATCTCAGAGTTTGCGTCGTCCTCACTCACCCGGAATGGCTCCATACACATTCTCTCTGTTCTTGGGTACGGACACGCGGATGCGCGGCGTGTACGGTTTCCTGGCCCTCCGCCGGCCGCCCTCGTCATCATAGTCCTCGTCCTCCGAGTCGTCCTCCACGTCAGACCCGTAGTCCAGCGAGGAGAACTTCACCGGCTGAAGAAGATTGAGGTGTTACACAGAGGAAACCGAACTGACCGGCACACCATTTTCGATCCAATTTAAGACAAATGAAGTCCAATTTATTGCGAGAGGATTAACACAATCAAATGTGGCGTCCTTTTAGAGAAGCTAGCAAAGCCTCCCAGAACTACAAAAACTGAAAACTGATGTTCACGGGACGGTAAAAATATCGAACAAAGCCGATCATTTTAAATCCTTCCAGGGGCAGGTTTCCAGTCCAGCTGGCCTTTGGCCATGCTGGCCTGCTCTGGGCAGTTGGCACCCCACTACTCACCTTGTTCGATTGGCGGGTGGACCGCCGGCGTCCTTCTGTCAGCTCAGTGCCGTACTCAGCATCATCTCGCTCCGGCTGCGGACGGGGCCTCTTGGCTGGTCGGCTCTTGATGGCAGGCGCTGGTCGCTTCTTCACACGAATCGCAGATCGCAGAGGTGGTAACTGCATGAAAAATAATATAATTAAAGTGCCAAGCATTGATATAGGCTGGCAGCTTCAACTCCTTAATGCAAATATGGTAAAATAAAAAGCTTGCAGATGAGCTGGAAATCCAGATGTGCAAGAAACAGCAAGTGTGCAGTATGCCTTTCCCATCATAGCTCAGCTGGAATTTGGAAAAGCATTGCACTCACTGTGGTGACTCAGGTGAGAGTCTGGTTTAAAGTCTCTCCAGCGCTTGACATATGAGACTTCTGAAGGGGACAGTCTAGAGTTGGAGGGAGCAGCTGCACTTGCAGTCAGCTGAAGTTTGTTGAGTGGAGTATGCCATATCAGGCTTTGATGGGCACACTTAGCTTAGATATCTACATCCTCCTGTTACTCAGAGTTGACCAATCAAATGGTAGAACTCAGGGTCCTGCACAACCCCTGCTTAGTGCTTGGTCCATGATCTGGCTCCAACAACTGTTCAATTCCAATTAAATAATTCAGGCTAAATCCACAAAAAGCAGTTGTGGAGAAAAAAGAGCTGATTAAAGCCAGATGCCACCAATCAGCACAGTTTTCTGGTTCTCAGTGCAACTGCAAAAGTTCAAGACAAAAGTACCTATCTGTGATCTGCTAAGTGATAACACTTTCTAAATGGGTAGGCACACAAAATCATTTAAGTTGTAAACCTTGAACCAGTGGCTGCTGACTCTCCATCATTGACTCAAGAATTAGGAATTAAGATTATTATGGGCTCAAGAAGTCAACATTAAAAGTCTTTGCTCAATGCTGATTGCTGAAGCCCAATTTGCATTTTAATCATAGGTTCTCACAAGTCACATGCCAGGCTGCTCAGTCAGTACCTACTCTACCTTGCTTCCAATCCAATGGCTGCTCAAGACTCCATCAGCTGAAACCCAATCTGATGTAACTGATACCATTACTCACCGGTTCAAGCAGACCAAGCTCCTGAAGCACCTTGCGGTTGGCTTCGCGATTCTGCTGCTGGAGCTTCTCCAGCTCGCTCAAGGCCTCCACCTTCCCAGGCATGATAGGAGCAAAGGCTCACCAACAATTTGCCAGATACAGATGGGCAAATGCTGAACTAAGCCTGAAAAAGCTGCACAGATCATAATCAAGACATCTCAATCAATTCAGTTCAAAATGAATTAAATTGACAGACATTACTGCACATTGCCGAAAATCGCTTCACATACAGAGCGTAAACGGTAGAGCCCTATTCGCCTACGTGCCCAGCTCGTTTACGCTCTGCCTATGTGAAGCAGTCTTAAGGCAAAAAATTCAGGCAGGTGGCTATTTTTCTGTTGGTAAAACTGGCCTCTACTCTACTAATGCCAATACTTTGAGTGTTTTTTTAACGACTTTGAAGAACAGAGTAGGTACAGCCCTCTGCAGACTGCACGGTAGGGCGAGGATCACGGTATATAGTTATAGAGAACTGGTGAAGATGATGATGAATTGGGGTTTTTGGGCTCCCGGAGTGCGGTAGGTATTATTTTTTCGACAAAACTAATAATAACTCAAAGGCTATACGATTTCCGAAAGGCCGTCGGACCGATAGCATAGCATTCGCGTTCGGCGTTATTCCCGGTTTTATCGAAAAAAAATAAACCACGACAAAATCAACTACCATCGACAAAATCAAAATAAGGACGCACGCGGCTGACCGCGGCCCTGTTTCACCGGTGATAGCAGGGGGATGTCGTCCCGGTTTTCCCCATGCATTATTCGCCAATCAGCTTAACACTACCATTGACGTCACTGGTGGATCGCCAATCGGGGCCGTCCGGCCGGCCGGCCGGGCCCTTAGAAGGCCAAACGCAGACGTTTTCAGAAAAGCGTAAGCCGTATAGATACAGTCGTGGATGGAGTTTTGCTGTGATTCGGCTCTCCAAGAGTGCGTCAGCGGACCAGGACCCGGATAAAGGTCATAGTGAACCGGCATCTGATAAAATCCGCTCACGGCCTAGCAGCCGACTTCGACCCTTCGCCCTCGTAAAGCACAAAAGCTTGCCGGTCATTAATCCACCTGCATCTTCTCATCATCCTATATCGACCAGCTACTGCAGCCGTTTTGGAGCGGCTCACGGCCAATAACACGCCGGGCGTGCGCTAGCCGCCGGTGCTAAGCGCTAACGGCATTGAGTGCGCGTGGCCGACTGCCGCCCCGATGGCGCTGGCCCCCGGCACCGACACCGGCGCGGCGCCGCTGACCCATTGGGGGGGGGGGGGGCCGGGGGGGGGGCTGCTAATTAGTTGAGCCGGAATTGGAATAGAAGCCGGTATGGGATTGGGATAGAAACTCAGCGAGACTAAGGGATTGTGTTGTGCCTTCGGTAGGCCCCCAAAAATCACCGGTGTAGTGCCCTCAGGGCCACCGGTTATGAAGCCTTTGGAGGCACTGGTGTGGGCCCTCAGAGGTAGGTACCGGTGTGAGGCCCTCGGAGGCATTGGTGCGGGGCCCCAGAGGTACCGCTGCGGGCCCTCTGAGGTGCTAGTGTGTGGCCCTCAGAGGCGCTGGTGAGGGTCCTCACAGTTGCCATTGTGGCCTGTGGGCCCTCAACTGCAGTGTGGGGTCATCACAGCCGGGTGCGGGACCCCTAGAGCTGCTGGCTCGAACCCTTTATAAGCCGACAGGGGCTCTCAGAGACCGACAAGGGGCCCTCAAGAGGTCTGCGGTGTCTTCAGGAGCCCTGTGGAGTCCTCAGAGACCAGCAAGGTACTCTCAGACGCCGGTGGGGGCCCTCAGAGTCGTCGGTGTGGGGTCCTCAAAAGTAACCGGTGAGTGGCCGTCCGATGCGAAGGTCCCGTCTTAGGCCGTAAGAGGCTCCGGCGTTGAGCCCTCAGAGCCGCCGATATATGGCCTTAAGAACAGACTTGTGCCGTGACCAAAAATCAAGATCCAGGATCCTCAAGGTCCCACGGCAAATTCAATTTCTAGAAGCACTGGTTTGGGCCTTTGGAACTTCATTCAGGGGTGCCGGTTGAACTCAGAGGTGCCAGTGTGGGGCCCTCAGCTGGGCACCGGTTTGGGGCTTTCACAGCCACCGGTGAGGGCCCTCGCAGGCGCCGTTGTGGGGGCCTTCAACCATTGGTTTAGGGGGTCATCACAGGCGTGTGTGGAACCCTTAGAGCTGCTGGTCCCTGATAGGCCGGTGTTACGATTACTTGAACTTTATTGAACTTAATTTAAACACGAAGGTAGCACTGTAACCGCTTACTAATGCTCAAAACTCTCGGCCACACAAGCCGGCCGCCCGCCGCCACACAGGTCCGTCGCGAGAAGGACAAACAGCGCCTCTGGCGGCCGGCCGACAAATTACGATCAGCTGATCGACAAAACTGGGTCACCGGATCGGCGCGCGACGGCCGATCGTCAGCAGCGGCAGCTGATCCACAACATCCTCCCCTTCAAAAAGTACGGACACCTAGGTCACAGGTGCACACCCGAGGGCCTAACCTGGCGAATACAGTTGCGGGCGTCGCACTGGGCGGCCATAGCGGCTAACAGCAGTTGGCGGACGGATGGGAGTTCCGTCCGGCTCCGAATCCGAACTATCCGAGTCCGACAGAGCACATTCACTTTCAGCGCTACTCGGCGAGTCCACACGACCGGAAACTTCATCGGAGCGGACCGCCAGCAATGGCCCGACAGCGGTCCGACCTAACAGCGGAATACAGACACCGAGGTCCGGTTCCTCGTCAGACACACTGACAGTGACAGGAACCGTCACACATGTCGCCCGTTCTGAATCGTCCCGCACAGAACTTTCTACTTTCTTCAGGTTACTACCATGCACAAGCACCTGCTTTCGTCCCCGCTTAATCCTATAATCAGGTCGCTGCACTTTGACGACTACATATGGTCCAGTAAAACGAGCGGACAGTTTCCTGCTCTTACCACGCTTCACTGCCTGCACTTTTAGCATCACCGTATCGCCTACTTCAATGTCACTCGTTCCAGCCACAGACGAGCGCGACTGGCTGTCCTGCAGTGACTGATGGGCCTGGTCGCGGTCCACCTCGAGACGGCGCTTCAGGTCACTCACATAATTCGCGTAAGTGTCACACTGCAGCTTATCTGCGTCATCAATGATCTCACTCACAACGGGCACACGCGGGTAAACACCATAAACCAACTCGAACGGCGAATATCCTGTCGTGGTGTGCTGTGAGAACCGATAGGCTGACACACACACACTGACCCACCGGTCCCAATCAGCCTGGTTCTCACTCACATAATGGGTGAGCATATCGCACAGAGTGCGGTTGAACCGCTCGGTTTGACCATTCGTTTGTGGATGGTACGACGTGCATCGTAGCTTTTGGATCCCCAATAGCTCACAAATCCGCTTAACTAGCGCGCTTTCGAAGTTCGTGCCCTGATCTGTCAGAATGCTTTTCGGCACTCCAAAACGAGCAAAGAGCTCCACGAAACAGTCGGCCACGGTCGTGGCCTTCTGGTCAGGAATACAATAGGTCTCCACCCACTTCGTGAACAAGTCCGACACGACTAGAACGTACCTGTTCCCAGCATCTGAACAAGGCAGTGGTCCAAGAATATCTGCCGACCACTGGGAGAACGGCTCCCCTACGACAGGTACACTACCTACACCTTCTCGGTGAGAACGGTTCGGCCTTTTCACCCGCGCGCATCCGAGACATGCACGGCAGTAGTCGCGCACGGTCACTTTCAGGTTATGCCAGTAGTAATGACGCGTGATCTGACTCATCGTACGCTTCAACCCGAAATGCGCCGCCATTGGCACATCGTGAGCAAGACGTATCACGTGACTCTGCATGCTTAACGGCACGATTATCTGCGGCTCACGGTCTGAAATGGTCTGTCGGTACACGAGGCCATCACGAACAAACAGGCTGTCTCTATCACGCATATAGAACGCACCGACGTCACCAAGTCTCGCATCGTTCGTGCTCCCAGTCCGTAGACAGTCCATGACAACTGACAGCACCGGGTCCTCCCGCGTCGCCGGCTGCAGCTCTGGCAGGCTGAGCCGGCTAGACGTCGCCTCCGCCCCGACAGCAGCTTCGTCAGCCGCCGAGCTTTTCAGCTCCACAGCTCGGACCGTCGCCGGCACGTCACCTTCGGCCAGCTCACACGAGTCACCATTTGGCACGCAGCCAACACTGACACTGGACAGTCCTTGTTTTGGCACACAGCCAGCACGGTCACCAGACAGTCCCTGTTTTGGCACACAGCCAGCACTGTCACCATCACCACAGTCTCTGGACAGTGCGTCCGCGTGGGGAATCGCAGTCCCCGGTCGGTGAACCACCGTAAAGTCATACTGGGACAACTCCATGACCCAGCGAGCCAGCCGACCAGACGGATCCTTTAGGCTCCAGAGCCACTTGAGCGCCTGGTGGTCCGTCACGACGACGAACTCAGTCCCGAGGACGTACCATCGGAACCTGGTCACGGCCCGAATCACAGCGAGCAGCTCGTGCTCAGTCGTCGTGTAGCGCGACTGACAGTCCGTCCATTTTCCCGAAGCGAAGGCGACTGCATACTCGCCATCACCATCACACTGGCTCAGAGTCGCGCCCCAGCCGCGCGAGCACGCATCGGTCGTGATCCGAAACGGCTGCTCCGGGTCCGGCGGCCGGACCACAGGGAAGGCAGCCACCGCCTTCCGGAGATCCTGGAAGCTCCGCTCTGCTGCCTCCGTCCACTCGAACGAGTGCCGGCGAGTCAGATCAGTCAGACCCACCGCACGCACACTGAAGTGAGGAATCAGGTGACGGAAGTAGCCCGCCATCCCCACGAATCGCAGCACCTCCTTCACGCTGCTCGGCCTCTTGTAGGCCGTGATCGCAGCCACGTTGTCGTACGCCGGCCGGATACACCCCTCAGAGATCACGTGAGACAGAAACGTGACCTCAGACTGTGCGAAGCGGCACTTCTGGGGGTTCAGGCGGATCCCGCTCCGCTCGAGCCGCTCGAACACCTCCCTCAGAACAGCGACATGCTGCTCTAGAGTCTCCGTGAAGATGAGTACGTCGTCCAGATACACGACCACTGACTGGTGCAGCAGGTCCTTCAGCACCGTCGTCATCATCCGCTGGTACGTTGCCGGTCCATTGCACATACCAAAGGCCAGGACTTGGTAGCAGAATTGCCCCTGATCGGTGACGAAGGCTGTCTTCTCTTGTGCCGATTCGTCCAGTTTCACTTGCCAGTACGCAGCCTTCTGATCGAGCTGCGAGAAGACACGGCATTTGGGACCGATCGACGCCAGCAGCGACTCTATCCTAGGTAGAGGAAAAGAGTCTTTCACGGTGCAGCGGTTCAGCTCCCTGAAGTCAGTACATACTCGAAAGCTCTTGCTTCCCTTCTTCTTTACAAGAAGCACCGGGCTCGCGTACGGGCTGGCACACTCCCGTATCACGCCCATTGACAGCATGTCCGCGATCTGCTGGTTGGCAGTCTCTCGCAGAGCCGGCGGAATCGGGTACGGCTTCTTTTTCCGCGGCTCCTCCATCAGCTCTATGCGATGTTCGACAGCTGTGACTCGTCCGAGCTGCCCTGGCGAGCTGAACACGTCCGACTGGTCCAGCACCGCTTTCAGCTTCTCCTGATCCACTGTTGACAGGTGA